CTTTATAATCATGGGGAAGTGCTAAACCCGTAGGATTATACAAACGGGCCCCCTGGGGGGGAAGGGGGGGTGGGAAAGGGATTCATGCCCAAATTTAGGGGAACCCGAAGGGAAAAGATCGAATTCCCTAGATTTAAGAGCCCCTCACCGCGTCAAGGAACCTCCCTTGGGGGAGGTCGGAATATTAATAAAAAGATAGGAAAATGACCGCTTTTCATGTAAAATTTAGGGACCACAGACCAGATAAAGTTTAGTGGGAGCTGAGGGGAAAAAATTTAGAAACCTATGCAAGAGCTGAGTGCGAAAGTCAAAAAGAGTTGGGTATCTGTTTTTTGAAATATGGGGGGTGGAAGAAATGAGAAGAAAACCTCTAAAAGATCGCCACATCAAAAGTGAGCCCAAACCCCGAGGAAATTATGAGTATTTAAAAATTTAAAAGAGGGGGAGGAGTTGGTAAGGAAGAAATTAGAGATGCCACATCAGGAATAGATGATGGCCGAGGAGGAAAAAGATAACAGAGCAGACTATACCACTTGTCCAAGTAAATACAGGTTGCAGCGTAATGCAGTGCAGTATTTACAAGGACTCGAGAACGTGGTATACTGCAGCGCACAAGAAGTGCTAATAGAGCATAGCATTAACATTGTGCATCTGTCTATGGACCAAGAGGGTCCGTAAAGTTAACATGCAGAGACATTGGGAAATTAATGAGTGAAGTATTGGAATGACATGAAAGTGGTGAGAATATGAAGTGTTAGGGGGTGGACTGGTGTCCATCACAGGTGTTGTCTTTTTGATAAACGCTAAACGAGGATATGGTTTCAATAGTCTCAGATGGGAGGGAAGGCGGAAGGAGCAAGGTGACAAAGGGAGTAGATGTAGTTTGGGTAAAAAGTGGAGACAACAGAAGACACCAAAGATGGGGTATAGGTATCTTGGCAGGCAGAAATTTCCGGAGGGACAGGCAAGGGAGCAACAGTATCAGATGCAGCTCAAGGTAAAGGCCTAGACTCAGAGATAGGGAAGAAATAGAACATTTGATAATGTCCTGTAGTTTGGGAGCTGAAGGAGATTTGGACATAAATGAATGTGTACTTTAAAGAAGGAATACATGGAATCTATTTAGATAGGAAGGGGAGCGGAGGTGCTGAAATGTAAGTGGGAAGGCAAAGAAGTAGGGACAGCAAGAGATGAGGTCGGAACTTCAGAACTCAGGACTGCAAAAGGGTTAGACGAGTTGACTGTGGAAGTGAGGGATAGAGATATTTGTGGAAGCAGGCATCACCGAGGTCTGGGACCATCTAGCGACCCTGGAATAAGAGCCGTGGGAATCTTCCTTGGAGGCAGAGATGGGAAACTGCCATAGCATAAGTGAAGCCCTCTAAGACGAATCTGCCTTCCCTTAAAATCGAGCAATGGCAAGAAGAGGCAAGGTGCACCTCTTCGCAGTTAAGGCAAAAGGTAGGGTGGCTGCAAGATTGACTGCTATGGTCAGTAGCACCACAGACCGGGTATTCTGCCAATGACCTGCAATATTTTGGCGGGCAGCCAAAGCGCCAGCATTTTCTACGTTATTGTGCAGGGATCACCTCCCGCACTTGTAGGTACTGTCCCACTATGTAAACAGATGGTGGCAGCTCACGGCTGTCAAAAGTTAGCCTTACTATATTGCAGCCTCTGCCCCCAGGCAGAGAGTACATGTCGGCTTCAATGATCAGGAGATTCTGGAGCTCAAGTTGCTTCAGAATGTCTTCATTACACACAAGTTGCGTTGTATGATCACGTGGGGAAAGATAATAGTTCCACAGCAAAAATTAAGGGAGATGTGCTTACAAATCATAACTGGTGCATTGTCAATATTATTATAATCAAGGAGAAGCGCTAAACCCATTGGATTATGCAGCACCTCGGGTGGGGGATAGAAGGTATTCAGACTTAAATCAGGGAACTGGAGCAGAGATCCAATTCCCTAGATTAAGACCCCCCTCACCAGCATCAAGGAACCTCCCTTGAGGGGTGGGGGTCAGAAAGATAGTAGTAGAGGCTAACTTAATATGAGTAAGCATGTTATCAGGCATTTATATGCATTTGAAAAGGAAAATAATGTCAATTCACTTTATGGCAATAGCCTGGAAATTAACCTGCCATATAAGCTGTATTGACGTGCGGTACTGTATACAGCTGTATTGACGTGCAGTACTGTATACAGCTGCATTTATTGTTGATCGGGACACTGTTCAATGTACCTGTTATGTTACCCTAGTTTTTACATTTTCAATGTTAATTTTATGCCAGAATTCTAGCACTCGTGTGAAAATTGCCATCCCTGGTCAAATTTTTCATTACCCTGCATGTGTAGTGGCATTTTAAGGTTTCAATCACCCCTTGATCTAATGGTTGTGTCAAGTTGCAATATTTGGTGGTAAATACATTATCGCATTTAAAAATCCACATTCTATAGATGAAAATTACTGAATTATCAAGCATTTGGTGAATTTTTCAAAAATTGTTTGTTGAAGTACATCTTGACTGAGGGAGTAAAATAAAATTCACACAACATGAAGACTTCACATCTGCACTGTCTAGATCACCAAATAATGGGTGAAGTCTAACCTCTTAGAGCATGGCTGGGTTTAGCACTTCATTTTGATTATAATTTTAAAGGATGGGCAATAATACAAACAATAAATCAACACAGGCTTTCACTTAAAAAGAATCTCCTGATGCATTAGCAAGAAGCAAGCTAAAACCAAATCTTTTGCTGCCTTAAATCCACATGAAATGTATTCTCGCTGATAAAAGTACTAGACAGCAATAAAGAAAATACACCTATCATAGCACTTAAATGTTCAGATTTGTAGCCAGAGGGGCAAAATATCCCACCCCTCTTCAAAGCAATTTTTTTGTTTAGGACTTTACAAAATTTAAACAGCATGCTATTGAAAACAAGACTGGGTTGTGTAAAAGTTTACTATATTCAGTACCATACACCTCTTATTTGCAAATTCAGTACACTACACACCACTTCCCTATACATTTACATACCAATTCTGCTTCATGGGTAGTCAGTGTACCCACTGGCTAACCAGTCATGAAGAAGTGAATGTTTTTAGATATTTGGGAGTCGATTTGTCAGAAGATGGGTTTATGAAGGATAAGGTTAACCAGAGAACTGATGAAGGACAAAAGGCGAGTGGCGTGTCAAGGTATCTGGAGACAAAAAAACCTTTTCCATGGAGGCAAAGAGGAAATGTACCGAAAGTATAGTGGTTCCAACACTATATGGGTGTGAAGCTTGGGTTGTAAATGCTGCAGCGAGGAGGCGGCAGAGGTAGTAGAGATGTCCTGTCTAAGGGAAACGTGTGTATAAATTATTATGCAGAGAATTCGTAGTGTGGAAATTAGGTGGTGTGGAGTTACTAATAGTAGTAGTCAGAAGGCTGAAGAGGGGTTGTTGAGGTGGTTTGGTCATTTAGAGAGAATGGAACAAAGTAGAATGACTTGGAGAATGTATATATCTGTAGGGAAAGGAAGGGTAGGGGGTCATCCACAAAACGTTGGAGGGAGGGGTGGAGGAGGTTTTGTGGACGAGGGCTTGGATTTCCAGCAAGTGTACAAGTGTTAAACAGGAGTGAATGGAGACGAGTGGTTTTTGGGACCTGATGAGCTGTTGGAGTGTGAGCAGGGTAATATTTTGTGAAGGGATTCAGGGAAACTGGTTAGCCGGACTCGAGTCCTGGAAATGGGAAGCACAATGCCTGTACTTTAAAGGAGGTGTTTGGGATATTGGCAGTCTGGAGTGACTAAACTGTTGTATCTGGGCACCTCTACAAAGACGGTGATTATGTATGAGCGAGGTGAAAGTGCTGAATGATGAAAGTATTTTCTTTCTTGAGATTTTCTTTTTTTGGGTCACCTTGCCTTGTTGGAAGATGACCAACGTATTTTTTTTTTTTTGGGGGGGGGGAGGGGGGGGGTAAGCTAAAATACTATATCAGTAAAATCAGAAAATGTAGCTTATTTACCATAGTGCTATGATCAGAAAAACATTTTTCAAGCTTAACCCCAAAATGGACACTAAACAAAATTCTAGAGGATTTTGGAAAAAATAGAAAAGTGCATTTTTATAGCTGCATTTTTATAAATCAAAGACTAAAACAAGTGAATCAAATAAAAAATTTGCTATCTGGTTGACTAAAAAAAATGTTCACTTCAACAGCAGCAGTATCAATGTGCCGGCAACGTGAAGTTTTACTGTATGACAAAAAAAGATTAATTGCTTTTAGTGTTTAACACTTAGTACACTAGTTTATGATTATATGTATTTAAAGAAAATTTAACACTTCAAACATTGGGAAATGCTTAACTCGACATTGCTCCACTTGAAACATACGGTATACATTGGCTTAATTTATTTTTATTCTATTTTTTCACTACTTTGGCCTTTAACATTATATACAAGGAATACTAACACTAATTGTTTAACATGGAACATGGAAATGTCACACTAACTATTGGGTAATCCTTTGTTAAAAATGCTTAGTACTTTGAGACTTAATTCCAATTTTAGTATGAAGTTGTACTAAATTTGGAAAAAGTTATCTTCATGCTACTTCCAAACTCTTGGCTAGTAGAGAAGCTGGTGGTGGAACAAAAGCTGATTTCATTGTTTACTTATGTTAGGCATACTAGTATGTTGGACAATCATCAACTTGAGTTAACCATAATTCAGTGTGTGGACCCCTCCTGGCCTTAATGCCCCTTCCCCCTTTCTACAATAGATTGTAGAAGACCCAAAGAGTGGTGCCGAGGTCAAAAAATTTGACAGGTGGCAGATTTGAAGGCAGGAAAAACTGAGCGTACTATTGTAGCACATTGGACACAGTCGTCAGTTGCATACTAGTACACTTGACAGTTTAAAGGTAAGTTTGCATTTTCCTGTAGCCAGTGAAAACCTGGCAACATTTTACAAGAAATCAGCTTAGGAAATAAAGATGAACTGGTAAAAATAGTTTATTAATTTAATATCCATTACAGATGGAGAAAATAGAAAAACAGGTACACAAGGAAAGGAATAGTTTAAGACTAGTATACACTACAGTTGTATTTTAATAGTTTTTCAATTTTTTTGTGTATATATACTGTAACATACAGTAGAGCATGAGAAGAATCAATCCAAAATTCTGGAGGCAATGAAGGTCAACCTTTGTGGTTCATTTGTAAAACAAAGTCACTCAGGACTAGGAATGGAATGAAATGTCCATTGTAAAGCTAAAACAAAATTCAAGACTGCACATAAATGTGCTCAATCCTATATGAACTTAAAACCTTTTTCCTACTAACTTCACATACACCTTTAACCAGAATAATCTTCAGTGCTAGTTAGGCAATACAGCCAATGTTGTTTATCCCTATTACAAGGTTTGCCACCTCTTGCTTTCTGATGACTAATGTTTACTCAAAGGGTGCAGACATTGCCTTAGCCTGTGCTCGTACTCTCTTCTCGTATTCCAGTCGATTTTGGCTGAAAATAAAATACCAAGTAAATCCAGTACCTTCATTAGCCTTATGTACTTATAAATTTTTAAAGTAAAACTGAAAGATCCAATACTGTCTTAAGTTTCCCTTTAGTTTACCAATTTCCATTAACCTGAAAAGAACTGAAGGATCCCACAGCCACTTATAATATTTCTTCAATTTAAAAATTGAATTTATACTAATTATTTAACCTAACTTTTAGAGCATTTGATGTGAGCAAAGATGCTTAATTACGCAAAAATATTTATTCATATTGCTGAATAGCTCAAAAGCACTGTTTACACATCCAGCTGCAGCAAAAGTAAATTTGATAAAAGCCCTTTA